GTGGGTTTAGAATCTCTGGTCTAATACTTCTTGTTTGAAGATGTGGTTTGACAGACCGAATGAAACGGATATTGTTTTGGTTATTAGGATGCTTCACAACCTCTGAATGTAATGTCACAGAAACCTTTATTTCTCAAATTTTAACTATTAGTGCCAGTTCTTCGGCATTGTACACCTGGAGTCGTGTTCAACGTGGCGTAACCTCCTTCGACAACGTCCAGCCGTCCAACAGAAACTGAAATTTCTTTCACTATCAAATGTGAAAATACCGACATTGAATTCTTTTTAGAATTTTGTGAAGTGTTTCATCCTCCCATGATCTTGTAGGCAGCCAACTTGTCAGCTCGCCTACTGGAGTTTTAACCAAAATGCTATGGCCTTGTTGCGTTTTTAGCATTGTATGAATGAAGTAGGATTTTTATAAACGACACTCAAATTCTACACGCAACATGGGATATAAACGTCTTTGTCCCCGTTCAAAACCGTGGGATCACATTTGCCGTCATTGCCATGTACGCTGCCTGGGTGAATTGCGCCATGTCAGGGGTCAAGACATCTTGGTCAAAACAACTGGGATAAAAATATGTTTTACGCTAATCTCAGAGTAGTGCTTCCCGTATTGATCAAACCTTCCATGAATTATTGGCGAACGGCTATTCATTTGAACATCTCCGTTGATAAAGATGCACTTCTATACAACTTAATAGTGTTTTTTTTTCACCAAATGAAATCCAAAGGAGGAATCCAATACAAGTTTACCCACCCGACATCCTTGTGAATGAATTTTGGTTCTCATACCCATTCTCCTGAACATTCAGTTTCCAAATGATTAAATGGTTATTAGTTTTGATGTACTCGGATATTTACATACTTGGAGGCAATGGGATTCTTCAGTAGTAGAGCGCTTGATTCAACAACTCCTCGGGATGTTATACCAGGGTCCTACTGCCTAAATTGGAGTAACTTTGAGATTTTCTTACCAATGGCTGCGACCGATATCTGTTACTCTGCTTCCACATTTTTACACAAACTAATTTGTTAAGTCAACCTGAAACTATTCGCAGAATTTTACTAATTTGGCCAGAACCATTCGTACAGCCCCAGTAGAGAGCTCAAAAAGGCTACTGCAGAATGTGATGCACAAAACATTCACATAGATGTCTTATCCCCCATAAACAATTAAACAACAATCTTAACATATTACGGCAGTTTGTTTGAAGGAAAGATCATAACTAGTTGGTCCAATCTTGGATTTTCAGAAATACTATAATTTAAGAGAAATCACATGTGTATGCAACCTGCCAAACCCTGTTTCTATCAGCCACTAAAGAGTGGTATTCATCGAGAACAAATGTGCAGATTAACTCATGGATAGTTAGAGCACCAGTCCTTAGTTTCCTTAGTTTACTCCAAGAAAGGGTGTGAACTTTGTTAAACGCAAAATTTAATGGTCTAACAAAACCGACCACGAACCAGACAAAGGAATTCTAGCAGACACTTTACTCACTTAGGTGGTTTGTAAATATATATATATATATACGTATATAAATATATGTATATATGTATAATGGCTAATCAGGACGATAGTCTAGCTATGCACACGTCGCCAATTTATGTAAGCTCACAACTCAGGCTACTATGTTATCGTATCTTAATTTTGGTTGACATTAACCACACGGTGGTCAGCTCCCAAGAAATGTGTGATATTTGTCGTGTTCATACGGTGGGGTGGAGTGGCAGGAAATGTGGAGGCTATTCAACATCTGTTTTACACAGGAAGCGTTAAGCTACGGGAAAAATTGATTACTTATTACCCAAAACATGCTAGAAGGTTTGCAGATCGTGGAAACACTTAGTCAGCACACGCATTTGGTGTAGAGTGACTTGAAACATCCTCTCCAATGGGGACAGGTTTTCGTGGTTTACCACTATTTGCAGATAGATAGAAATAGGTTGAATACATTTCACTTAAATCAGATATGATTATTGTGGTCACAATCTAAAAATTAAAGCCTACCATACTTCAGATCCTTTCCTTATTTCATCTGACGTCGTGATATGTTGAATTTTTATTCAAGTCTCACTTGCTTCATATTATCAAAGGTGGTGTGAAAAAATCAGACATTCATCAGACGCTTTCGTGTTTTTCACTTAATTAATGTGTCTCTGGGGCTGACTTGCTTCATATTATCAAAGGTGGTGTGAAAAAATCAGACATTCATCAGACGCTTTCGTGTTTTACACTTAATTAATGTGTCTCTGGAGCTGTTCATACCACTAAACATCTCAGTCTGTAAATCTTCTATTCAAACCATCCCTGCTTCCATTACCTCTATATCATAGAGATGAGAAACGAAATCTTCATACCACTCACGATGCAAAATATTCTAACAAAATTGTCCCACGTTCCCATGAAGTGCATTTAAATTTTAGAACAGATATCAGAATCATTTATCTCCGAGGCATGTGCACCATGTTGGTATCTCGATGTCGGTATATGGTGAATTATTAGTGACTTTTCGAACCGTTTATGTTTTAGAGCAAGCATTTTAGCTACAATTTTCCTACGTTGTGTCTAGGGGCAAGATCAACCGGCAGCGCAGTTCTCGTGTCTACATGGCTTATTGGACATATCATTTCAGCACTGATGTCTTAGCATCGTCTCACGAGGTTGCTCCATGCTTCCTGGTGACTTTTGCTTCTACACACTGGTGCGCAATCCAAAGTGAATTGCGAGAGTTTTACTCGCTAAGCGAAGAACATGTCATCATGGCTGTCATAAATGTGGTTACAGCATGCGAAATAGTGAGTGGTAGAGGCCGCTAAATGTGGAACTGTCTCATACTCCACTGCTGGATATAGCAGAGACATCATGAGTGCCTAAAGTGGGGCAATATTTAGAAAAATAAGGGTAGCGATCAAGCGGCCTGTTGTCGAAAGACATTATTTAAAACCGGCTATAACATTTCCTTGCAAGCTTCCGAAGAATTTGCCTTGTCCTCAAAAAAGATGCTTGCCAGTATTCAGATATTTGACTGTCATGATGAGCAAAACGTCGTGCATGCATAAAGGTATAAAATACTTCTTAATGTGGGTAAAACCATACGCCGCCGAACAAAAGCTCTGGGAAGGGGGTCAACAAAAGCCTGTCCAATGCATCGGACGATGTTCAGAAACTTAGTTGTTTGTTTGAGTTGGCCCGGTGACCAGTACTTATCAGGTGAAAGATTTAGATAATTATAGACAGATAAAGTAGAGTGGAGTTGTCGGATGCCCTTTGGACAGTTCATCTAGTGGTCCAACGTTAAACAGAAAGATAATTCCAGACGTATTTTCGACGCAACAGATAGAATGTATTCGAGTAAATGAGTACATAAACAGTAGTCATAAAATAAATCCAAGTGGCTGAGGAATATAAAACTCAAATTAATAGATTGCCCCATAAACTCCACTTTGTCTACAAAGACGCTATTATTTCCTCTTGTCCACAAGTTATTTGGTTGAGTGACCGGTGATAGAATTTCACGGCGGAAAGCAAAACAAAACAGTTAAAGGCCCGCAAGTAATTGGAATTTTTGCGTTCATTCAAGGTTTAGCAATAAAAAGGAAGGCGCCTTCCGGTACACAACCATACCAGTAATTCAAATGTGAACGCCGTCTGGTAAGTTGCCACGTACATACTTCTCAGTCGGTCTCCTAGTCAAAGGCTTTCACATACAATGTCCTGAGATTTGTTGAAAGCATGTAATACTTGAGGTAATACAAAATGCCTGAAAGCGATGCTACTGACAATCAAACTCTTATTGGTGCCCAATTGCCTGAGGCGTCGGCTACTGCAGTTTTGCAACTCGTGAAAAGCACTGTCACCAAACGTATCTAAAAGGACTTGTTAGAAACCGGCGCTAGATATGTTCCCCATCCTCAGAAATTACTTTCAAAATAGACGCCCCCTTTTAGATTCCTAGCCGTGCACAGTAGCCAATATCATTTCCAACAGCATCGCAATAAGACATCAGTTTTGAAATTGTAGCGCAGTTTGTAACTTTGGATCAAACATCCGGAAGTCGATGTTGTTATTGTACATATTCATTTTTTCTACAGAATCACACATCCTAGAAATACTGACATGATGCAAGATCTTGTGATAATCTGAGTCTGTTTGTCTTGCAGGACCAGCAAAAGCAATCATGTATTCTGTTGAAAATTTTCAGCTCATGTTGGGGCTGTGGATGCTGCAATTCTGTGACCTGTTATTAGAATTGGACTGATCACATTATTAAAGGGCTAATTGCCTGTCTTGACAGACTATAATTTTAGCTACCATTTTGTTCTTGAAGTTTCAGTAAACATTGTCAACACTAAAAACAAAGCGGGGGCGCATTACGTGTATGCGTGCATTGCGATAACTCGAATATCGCGCCAAATGAAAGATGATTTGGTGCAGCGCATTCAGTTACTTCGGAACATCATAAACGAGAGATTCAGTTGGGTTCCACGACAGTCTCTCTTAAACACCAAATATGTTTGCAAATGAGTGTGTTTGCTAAAGATTTAAATTCTTCCGTGACTGAGTGAAAGGAACTGTTTTGCGTGTCATTTGGCTTGAAGTTGTATACTTGGTGCTTCAAATGGAGTTTGTTAGTTCCTGTGTAGAGTGAACTTTTCTCATCTAAAAAATCTAAATATCAGTTGAGCAAAACCATAACGTCCACTGTGCTTTACACAAAAGTGACGTTGTCTAACTCTAAAACCCACCTCAGTTTTATTTTTTTGTAAAAAAGATGCTCAGAATTACCATGCACAAGAATTGTCTCTCATTGCCATGTGCAGCTTGGGGTCTATTCAGTCCTTTGACCCACGATATTGACAACTGAGTAACACATGTATCATTTGATTTCCGCTAATTCTCTATCAAATAAACCGGTTGACTTTAACGTGATTAGATTGTACAATATATACTGCGCGTGGACTGTTAAGGATTCGGAAGAGAAACAAATAAATCGATGCTTTTTAAGCCCAAAATGTATTTCCTGGACACATTGTTTGACGTGTAAACAGATATGGCTTCAGTTAGGGTCTCATCCTGTAATTGATGCGAATCTGTGCTGAATAGCTGCGGAGCACCTCACAGTTGTCTTTTCCACTCGAAAATTCCAGAGATCGTAAGCTGTAGGAATGCGCCAATGGGCGGGAAACAGCTCAAAAAATGACGTGGACAATTTGTTGCTGTTGCGAATTTTAGGCTGCAGTAAAACAAAAACATCAAATTTTCAAATAATTCATTATTCAAACAATCAGATTAAATTTTGCCATGTTCACTTTACCACTAACCCACCTGAGTGGGGACATTCAAGTATTTCTTAATTAGGTACCACACTAATTCAAATCAAAAATACCGACAGAAGGACAGTATTTGTAGAAATGCAACAACACAAAGCAGTTTAACCTTGGCAGAATAACTGATAAGTAAGAATGACTGCAGTGGGACATCACGAAACGCACTTGTGGCCTCACGAAGCTTTATTTTCAGCGAAATCGCCTGGGTCTAAAAGTACAAAATCCAAGTAGCGTTAGATCCAATTAACCACCCCATCCCCATCCCCAAACTAATTGTCCCAGCACCCTTGGACGAACACAGGTGAACGAAATCTGTGAACGACCCCAAGAGGAATTTTCCATTAAGGTGTCCTAGACTGAAGAAGCAGGGACGAAAAAATCCGGGTTCATCATAAAGACGAACCCTCCCCCTAACCGATCTATCGTAAAGCTTAGTCATCGCACTAATCAACAAACAGGGACATCAGACTGAACACCCAGCACTGATCACGTCACTAGTCATAAGGAATCTCACGGATTGGTTCCCTGACTGCCTTAAAAACCCAATCAACCTACTTACTTACTCACTTGGCCTGACGAAGCTTTTGTGTCAAAAGCGAAACGCTGCCCAGCAATAAATCCACCGATTGTTTACCAAACCCCTCTGAAACGAAAGCTTTATTTTCCCTATTCGATCGGGCACTGCTTGACCATCACCAATTTGGTGCCAAATTATCGCTGAAACCTAGACACAAAGTCTTCGTTGATGTCCAGCGGTGTAGGTATAGTCACTTGAGGTCACCACTACATAGGTGCACCATTTCTGGAGCTGGTGGTTTGGGCTCTATCTATATAACAATCTAAATATCCTTATAATTCTGCTTGAGTGCGAAAAGCCGGATAATGGTAGACTGCTAGTCGGTTAAGCAGCTGGTCTTTTGAAATGTAATCAACCCAGAATTAGCCCCCAAATATTGGTTTTTATTTCAACGAAGTTGAAATAGGCAGCTACTGTAATGATGGCAACTCAAGTGATTTTAACAGTATGAGTGCATGAAAGGTAACGTGGCGACAACAAAGTGCAGTTTACGAGTTTTATCAATGTCTGAAAACTTGCATTTTGCAAGAAGTCTTGTTCATGCTACTTTCAATATCTAAGACTTCGTGACAGAAGAGCAAGCTCCTCTAATAAATAATTTATGCAAATATACGTGCCTATATACGTAAATAAATGTGTGCGAATAGTCATTTGTAGTGATAATCCAAGCTCAATCCTGCATCCGGATTTGTGCATTTTGCAAAATGTTGTTTCAGTTTGGTTCTATCATTACTTTCCTTTTACAGAAGGTAAGCCAACCAACGTAGTCAGACTGAGACCTTCAGACTGATTATTCCAGTGCTGGTTTAGCTGCTAAGGGTTCCGCCTAACTGTTTTCAAAACCCATCTGGCATTCTTGATCTTCTGAAACGGACAGTCCTAACCAGCTCCCTATATCGAATGTGGTGAAACCACCTTATCCCGGAAATACTTTGAGGCGGTTTCTATACAACCTAATTATTCGTAAGCTCCCTTCACATAACATAAATAACTTACAAAGAAAAGTCGGAGTACTTCAGATGGGTTTCTTATAGAGATAGAGATAGAGCTTTGAAAACACTATCGACGAGCAAACGCTAAAGATTTGCCTACTTCCGAATCATTAGAATACATCTACTAACTATCTATCGGTCCATCCATCTATATGTCTATCTATCTATCTATCTATCTATCTATCTATCTATCTATCTATCTATCTATCTATCTATCTATCTATCTATCTATCTATCTATCTATCTATCTATCTATCTATCTATCTATCTATCTATCTATCTATCTATCTATCTATCTATCTATCTATCTATCTATCTATCTATCTATCTATCTATCTATCTATCTATCTATCTATCTATCTATCTATCTATCTATCTATCTATCTATCTATCTATCTATCTATCTATCTATCTATCTATCTATCTATCTATCTATCTATCTATCTATCTATCTATCTATCTATCTATCTATCTATCTATCTATCTATCTATCTATCTATCTATCTATCTATCTATCTATCTATCTATCTATCTATCTATCTATCTATCTATCTATCTATCTATCTATCTATCTATCTATCTATCTATCTATCTATCTATCTATCTATCTATCTATCTATCTATCTCAAATAAACCTGCGACAGTGACATGTTAAACGCTGTTGAACAGTTGTGAGTGCTGCCGATGATGAATGGGAGAAATTGAACCAGAACTTTTGAAAAATGTGGATCGTATCACTAAGGATCGACTTGATTAGACCACGGTGTTTTTGCGCATTTCCCCACTTTCAAGTATTTTTCAAGCTTACGTGAAGAGCTGCCATTAAATAAGGTGCGTAACATTCGTAAATATTACTTTTTTGCTACTAAATTCATTTCTAATCATATTAACACGAGTTTTAACTCCATATACTAGTTACCTCATCAAAACATTTTGTAAGCAACCGGTATGCTTTCGACTGTCCACTAAAGTCGATTTTGGGAATTTGGATGGGTATTGAGCCAAATAACTTGTAAGACTTTGTGAATTGTTTTTTAATATTGCTCACAAATAGAGCCTTCAGGACTAGGTGAAGGGTTGAATAATCTTTCATGTGACATGTCCAAAGATCCGCCCGTAAGAGGCCGCGCCCAGAAAATGATTGAAGAGATTCTTTAGTAGAGTACTGCACCCAGGTACCCACTGTACCTTTCTATGGATAATCAAGTTACTATGAAACATTGGGAACATAGATTTCACTGTCGACAGAGAGTATTTGCAGCAAAGATGCAGCACTTTGAGATATCCATAGAATAATCAGGAATAAGGGTGTCACAATGCTCCCAAAAATCCTCCAAACGGCACATGCTAGCCACAACCAAGAAACGCTTGTATGGTCTGTAATGCACGCCGGTGCACCGAGCTTACCGATTTTCACCTGTTATCTCAATAAATGCTATCGTGGAATCTCCACAACCAAGAAACGCTCGTGTAGTCTGTAATGAACGCCGGTGCACCGAGCTTACCGATTTTTACCCGTTATCTCAATAAATGCTATCGTGGAATCTCGTAAGCTTGAAGAGCAAATCTCCCTTCAGCCAAGAAACTTTTCATTGTGGAATAAATGAATACATATTCTAAATTCCGTTTTAGCTCTGCTGCTTCTCTGAGGATTCTCTTGGACCTACCGTACGACGCTGGTAACATTAATGACATTGTCAAGTTATGTATTTACCACCAATTAGTCGGAATTTTAGGGTTTGATAAGAAGTCTCCGGTGCGGGCGAACAAAAGATCGCCAATTGGATCCCTCCTGAATACTCAAAACAAAAGCGATAACTGGATTTGATAGTAGTTATTCACTCTAGTCAAACGGGAGTTTTCGTGCACATTTCCGCTGGTCCACAAAGTTAGTTGGCTGATCGAAGTTGGTCCACCGTAGCAAGGCCACTTTAGAATGATTAATAACAACGTACAGGCAAAAGGAGCTTGAGAAACGCACGACGGTCTCATGCATTGTTTTTCCTGTAAAACTGGCTAAATGAGAAAAACTGTCGATGCGCGTTCACGCAATTTATGAATTGGAGGCTCTTTGATATCGCGATAGCTTATACGTTAGTCGATGCGAAGGTAGATTCGCCAAATACAAGCTGGTCCCCCTAGCACTGTACTAACGAGTGCAGATACACACAGCATTTTATACAAAATTTACACATCAAACTGGGCTAAGTTTGTTCTACTGGGTTGCAAACCATAACAGCCAGATATATTTGGAAACATGTGGCGAAAGACTGACACGTTTTTAGCGCAGCTCACGTGAATGAGATAAAGTTAGTATTTTAGTTTTGTCTGCCGACTAGGCCATTTCAAAATATATATATAGGCCATTCAAAAATATATTTTGAAGACAATCAAACCATAACGGCCAGATATCTTTGGAAACATGTGGCGAAAGACTGACACGTTTTTAGCGCAGCTCACGTGAATGAGATAAAGTTAGTATTTTAGTTTTGTCTGCCGACTAGGCCATTTCAAATTACATATAGGCCATTCAAAAATATATTTTGAAGACAATATCGGTTTTTAGGCCGAGGATCACAAGACGGGAAGAGAAGGATATCTGATGTGCAAGGTTAAAAAATTCAATATTCAAAGCGATACGGGAGATAAAACGGAAATCGGGCCACTGGTTGAACTGATGATAAGATTCTGTGTCTTAATGAAATAGCCCAGAGATGAATCTACCGATTTCTGAAGGTCACATTACCATAGTTTATGAATAGAACCGCCACTGGATATGTCCATTCTTCCATACTTTTCACATGTTTAAAAGTGAGTCGGACAACTTAGACCACTTAGGCATTGTATGCCTAACTGAAACCTCAAAGACACTTTTGAGTATGTTAACACTAACTGGCAGCTGGGCGTACCTGATATGATGTCACTTTTTACTCGTCACCATATCGAGACTCAAACCAGAGAGTTTCATTACGTCGAACAGTCTGGAGTAGTCTTCGATCAATATATGCAGCCTCAAAGTTTTGGGAGAAAATTCTTATTAAACGTGGGGAGATCAAACGGCCCAATGCTTGCTGGAATATTTAAGACCAGGTTCAAAAGATGTCAACTGAAGTTTTCTCTCGAGAGTTCATCGTACCAATCTAGCATGACAATCAATTTCTATAGAGGAAAATGTTGGCAGCACAACTACGTGCACAGGACCAACATCTCAACCGGAATACTCTAGGTGAACCGATTATCAGATCCGAAGTCAAAAGACTACCTGAAGTCGGATCAATGAAGGTCACAAGCCGGAACTCGGAGGGGCCAAGGACAGAGGTCACTGCAGCATCGACCA